CATAACAATTATGACAAATCATGGCTTGAACTATCTTGCTTTGCATGTAATGAGTCTATCCCATATATTAGTTTCACCTTTTAAGTTGAAATAAATGAACTTTTGCACGATATTCTAATTTTTTGAGTTTTACCTGTATATTAAGCCAAAACCAAACAACTCACAGTGAAGCTTAGACAAGCATGAACCTAGCTGGAACTATCTCAGCCCTGTGAACATTTCAGTCAATTTCAACATTTCAGTTTATCTCATTTTCTTTTTGATAACCTTCACAAAAAGTATCTTCCTATTTTTAAAAGCAGTGAAGAAATGGTAATCCGATCTCCATTACTTGTCCAGTGAATGGTCAATAAGGAAAAAAAGAATGGGACTCCTGGGATTGAGAGGATAGCTGTTGCCATCTGAACTTATCCTTTAAACAAATAACCTTTCTTAAGATAGAAACGCAATTTCTATCTTAAGAAATTCACAAGTTCACAAACAGAGGGGGATATTTTTTCCCTTTCATTTTTCATCTGTGCTTCCAACAAAAGGTCAACATCCAATGAGGGAATAAAGGATTTTAGAAACGAACCACTGGTTTAAAGGATGGTGCCACCAAGAGAATTTTGGATTCCTAGATTTTGGACTGCATTATCTACATGAAGGACTTCTGGCAAGAGATTGCCTGCACCGTCTCATAAGAACTGGGAGTAATATATTTGGAAAATGTCTGGCTCAGCTTATCCAAAAAGCTTTAAACTAAAATTGAGAGAGGAGAGTGACTAATCTTTAGAACCTAATCTCAAACATAAACCCTAAGACAATCAAACAAGTATGTAGTGACTGATGGGAAAGAAGAAAAACTCAGATATAAATCAGGAGATGTAGAAAGCATACCTAGGGTCTGCCATAAAGGACTCAGATGCCTATACACAAATAGCAATAGCACTTAGACTTACAGTATATACCGCCTGACAGTGCTTTACAGCCCTCTCTAAGTGGTTTCCAGAGTTAGTATATTGCCCCCAACATTGCCCCCACTGTGCCGAGGTGGCACAGTGGTTAGGGTGCAGTACTGCAGGCCACTTCAGCTGACTGTTATCTGCAGTTCAGCGGTTCTAATCTCACCGGCTCAAGGTTGACTCAGCCTTCCATCCTTCCGAGGTGGGTGAAATGAGGACCCAGACTGTGGGGGCGATATGCTGACTCTGTAAACCGCTTAGAGAGGGCTGAAAGCCCTATGAAGCGGTATATAAGTCTAACTGCTATTGCTATTGCTATTGCTAATTTGAGTCCTCATTTTTCCCAGCTCAGAAGGATGGAAGGCTGAGTCAACCTTGAGCCTGGTGGGATTTGAACTGCCAAATTGCAGGTAGCCAGCAGTCAAAAGAAGTAGCCTGCAGTACTGCACTCTAACCACTGCACCACCAAGGCTCATCAAACGCTTGAAGTTTGAGGAACAAATAGGGTGAATGTGAAGTACTGGTACACAGGGCAAATATGATACAGTTGCCATTACCGAGACTTGGTGGGATGACACTCATGACTGGACTGTATTGCTGGAAGGCTATAAACTATTTTAAAAAAACCAGACCTAACAAATGAGGAGGGGGAGTTGCATTATATGTTAAGAGATCACTACACAACTACAGAAATGCATAAAACCAAGGATGAAAGCCTTTTTGAATACATATGGGTTAATATAGAAGAATAACATTGCCATACAGGTATATTACCACCCAAACAAGCAAAATAAATAGATGGACTTTTTGCTAATCAGTTAACAAATGAATATAGGAAACAGACCATAGTAGTAATGGGGACTTTAACAACCCTGACATCGACTGGGAGACAAACTCTGCATCAAGTGGGAGATCAAGCAGGTTCCGTATGTGCCTAACTGACAATGTTGTTATCCAAAATGTAAAAGAGGGAACTAGAGGGTCAGCTATATTGGACTTAATTCTTATTAAACAGAAGAAATGATAGAAGGAGTTGAAGTTGCAGGAACTTTGGAGGAGAGTGACCACGTCACACTGGACTTCAATCACCTTCCTGGATCGGGATGCTCTGTGCACAGTCACTCATGTCCTCGTCCTTTCTTGCCTGGACTACTGTAACGCTCTCTACATGGGGCTGCCCTTGAAGAGCACCCGGAGGCTTCAACTGGTCCAGAATGCGGCTGCGTGGGTTATCATGGGGGCACCTAGGTGCTCCCATGTTACACCCCTTTTAGGCGGCCTGCACTGGTTGCCGGTTGTCTTCCAGGTGCGATTCAAGGTACTAATTATGACCTTTAAAGCGCTCCATGGCTTAGGCCCAGGGTACCTGCGAGACCACCTACTGCCACCGGTAGCCTCCCATCGTCCAGTGCGATCCCAGAGTTGGCCTCCTCAGGGTGCCATCAGCCAGACAGTGTCAGCTAGTGACCCCCAGGGGGAGAGCCTTCTTTATGGGAGCGCCTTCCCTCTGGAATGAGCTGCCCCCGGAGCTTTGTATAATCCCCGACCTCTGATCCTTCCGACGCGCCCTAAAAAATTGGCTTTTCCAGCAAGCCAGCCTGGCCTGAACAAAACAAAATAAATTATTGATCATTGTTAATTTTAATTTTAAAAAAAATGTTATTGTCAATTCTTATTGGGTTTGTTTGGGATATTCTATTTTTTTTTTTTTAACTTTTGTATTATGTGTTTCTTTTAATGTACCCGTTGGTCAGGAGGCCCTGTACCGGAACGCTTCCTCCCCTCGTTCGCTCTTTCACTCGCCCCGCCCATCTTCACCATGCTGCTGAAAAGTTCTCAGAAGAAGAACTAGAAGAAGACAGACTGGTGAGTGGATGGGGTGGGGAGGATATTGGGGAAGAGGGAAGAGGCAGAGGGGCTGCTAGAAGAGTGTGTGCGTGTGCACAGGCTGTGGGTTTTTAAAAACGTCTTGAGTGAATCCAGGAAGAGGCAGAGGGGCTGGAAGATACTATAGGAACATACGCTTCCAGCCTCTTCCCTCTTCCTGGATTCACTCAGACATTTTAAAAACTCACAGCCTGTGTACACATACATATACAAACACATCCAGCCCCTCTGCCTCTTCCCTCTTCCTGGATTCACTCAGACATTTTTAAAACTCACAGCCTGTGCACAGCACACACACTTCCAGCCCCTCTGACTCTTCCCTCTTCCTGGATTCACTCAGACATTTTAAAAACTCACAGCCTGTGTACACATACATATACAAACACATCCAGCCCCTCTGCTTCTTCCCTCTTCCTGGATTCACTCAAGACGTTTTTAAAACTCACAGCCTGTGCACAGCACACACACTTCCAGCCCCTCTGACTCTTCCCTCTTCCTGGATTCACTCAGACATTTTTAAAACTCACAGCCTGTGTACACATACATATACAAACACATCCAGCCCCTCTGCTTCTTCCCTCTTCCTGGATTCACTCAAGACGTTTTTAAAACTCACAGCCTGTGCACAGCACACACACTTCCAGCCCCTCTGACTCTTCCCTCTTCCTGGATTCACTCAGACATTTTTAAAACTCACAGCCTGTGCACATGTGCACACTTCCAACCACTTATAACCAGAGGCTTTCAATCACTGTCAACACATTTATTTGTAGCATCTTGTGCTCAAAGATTTGGTAATCCTAAATTGGGATGAGAAAACTTGCTGAAGGACCAAAAAGCATTGACCCTTACTTGTCTAAATGAAGATCGTCCATTAGAGAGACGTGAAAAAAGGAAAATTAAATGTATGGTAATTATTATGCTGGTTTAGACCAGTCCATAGCTTTGAATGCCCATAACAGTGAGACCTGCTTATTTTTTTTAGACAGCAAATATAAACTACATACATCTCTATTACAAGAATAATATATTTATGTTAACCTACTTTCTAGGTGTGATGCCATTTTCCAAGCTTGTGGCTTGACTTCGAAGCCAGCGGCGCTGGTAACTAGAAGAGGAGCTGGGAGATGGTAACGGAGTCATCAAAAGACTACTCAGGGATGCTGTCAAGAAAGCAAAATGTCAGTAGTTTTGTCAGAATGTAATTTCTTCTGAACCTGAAGGTGGCTGAGCCATGCTTCTATTATAGATAGCCAATACAATTTTTATTTTATGAACGTAAGAGACAGAAAGAACTGATTACTTATCTATAAATGCACTTCTTTATGTAGACCCTGTGAATTTATCCACATAAATTGGGTAACATGGATTAAACATTCAGGAAATATAGCAAGGTTTCTGAAAAAGATCTATCATTGAAAACAGCCAATTCTATTTCCTGTTTTAAATGAAAACTAGGGATTGACTTGGGAAGAGAAGAAAGAGAGTAACGCTTATGAACCCCATCTAGTCTTATTGCTAAACAAAATATCCCCATAAAAGGATATTATCTTAGTATCTTGAAATACTAGTAGTACAGAGCCATATGTGATGATGCAACGTAATGGAGAAATTGTAACTTTAGGTAGGGAACTGGCTGCATGACAAACTATCTTCAATTTTTATTTGAAAATATATTACTTCTATCTGAAAGATGTGGATTATTTCCCTCTTGTCCTCTGCAACTCTATCTGCTGATTCAGAGTACTGTTAATGATGAGAACCAGACTGTGACGTTTCAGTTATAATAGTGTTCAAGATGCAGTGCTGAAATAACAGAGGTATTCCTCTTCTTTCACTCTATAGTCTCTCAATGCAGTAAGAAATTAATAGTATCCAGCCTTTTCTTTGTGGGTACAGAGGATTTTGATCAGTATTTCAAAAAAGAAAATATTGCAAGTCTCATAGCCGTCCTGGAATATAATGTCAAATTTAGAATTGGATGGGTATCCTGGCTTTAAAGACAGCTTTCTTTAGACCTTGTTGCCAGAGTGGTTTGCAAACAGGAAGAGTTACTGGAGCATGTCTGCTCCATAAATGGTTAAATGGCACATTCAGAAATTAAAATTTGTTCCTACAAAGTAGGCACTTGCAAATGGGACTCTTTAAGATCCAGAGTGAAAGCCCAATTCCTGCAACAAGGGGAAAAAAACACGGCTCCTTGCAGATCCGGAAATCCTAACAACAGAATGATTATAAAAGGAAAAGGAATAGTAGTGACAAGAGATCTAGTATTAAAAAAAAGAAATGGAAATAAGAGAATCATGACCATGTTAATGGTAATTCTGAGAACTAGAGTAAATTAGTAACAATTAAACAATTAAGCATTGCAGAAAGAAGGGAAGATTCGTACAATTAACAACATAAAGACTCATTTTGTCTTATGTTGCCAATATCCTAATATGCTTATAGCACTAAGAACGTGAAGGTGGCAATGTGACAACATTTACATTTATCTTAAAAGCAGTAACTTTTGAATATTAGAAAATCAAGACTGGCAAGTCTCAACAATGAGTTTGGAACAGTGGACATCATACACACAAAACTTTTTGATCCATACTATCAACAAAGTGACAAACAAGTAATTCCTATTTCTAAATGTATTATCAGTATTCAAAGGATAATGTATGAGTTTCACCTCAAAATTAAATCTGAATCTATTGCGTCATATTTCATTACAGTGTTTTGATTACACTTCTGAAAAGAACAAAGAAAAGGATAACTACCTGATCGAGCTATGCCACTGTCTCTGTCTTCATTTTGACCTCTACTGGGCATGTCAACAGGAGTGCTGTGTGCTGAATTGTTAAAAATATCAAGGTTAAAGGTACTTCCTACTAGCAGTTGGATTCAAGAGAACTATTTTCAAAGCTCCAGAACTTTAAAATAAAATAAATAGGACTGGTCTACCAAGTAGCAAATAATATATTGAAACTAATTTACAATACTGTTTAGGAAGCATTTTTGAAACATCACATTTATTATGTTCACAGGTTTGAAGGGAGAAGTCCTTCCTGCTTGGTTGTTTGCTTCCAGATGTTTCATTACCCAACTCTGCTAGAGAGCTTGGGAGTAGCTCCTTGTTTATATTTATCTACTCTGGCAGGGCAAGTTATTGTTTACAGAGAATTAGTCTCTAAGTTTGTAAGTCTTGATACACAGAAAACATCAAAGGCTCCAGAAAATCACTGATTTCAATGCCTATGCTGCCACAAAATTATGTAAAGTAATAAGGGGGCATTCACTACCAGTGAATTTCAAATGTCAAAATTGCTTTGACACTATAATCCATGAAAACTGCAAATACCAGGTCCCCCTAGATATATTTTCATGGAATGATCCTTAAACTTGGGAACCTGGCTTCTAGTTGGAATGGCACTATATTGTCTTTAGGATTTTCTCACAACAGACAATCAACAAGTGAGTACAACTGTACTTATGTTATCCACACAGGCTACACTTTGATATTTGTGGTTAGCTACTGGAGGAGTAGTCTTTGGTCTGATCCAGCCCAATTAAAGCATGTATCCCAACAAAATGTGATCAACCACATTTTAGAAGAACAAATGCACATCACTTTCAGGATTTATAAACTTTCTAAAAGTTCGTAGTTAGACTCAATTACTCTGTTCAATTTTTATCTGTTTGGAATACTGTTTGGAAGGAATATGTCAGTTTGCTCTGTTCTACAAATGCTTTAATGTGGTGTTTTTAATAAATAATTGCTCTGGAAACTCACACTTTTACAAGAGTTGCAAGGTTGAAAAATATAATTAAAATTCAAGACAAAGTCTTAGGGCATTATAGTACTTCACATAATTAAGATATTTATTGAAGCAAAACTATTGACTGGCCCAGTTTACTCTCTAGGAAAGAACAACCTTTGATTCCATAGGTGTTAGAGAAAGGATACTTTTACTAGAGATGCTGAGTGCAGCATAGCAAGGCAAACTCTCAAGAAAAACCACCTGAAAATCATATATTGAAAGCAATCCTCCAATGTCCAAAACCTTCCCCTCCATGAGAGTAGTCCAATCAGGTTCTGTTCTGATGTTTTGGGAACCCGTTGCCTCAGGCACTGCTGTAAATTCTTTTCCCAGGATCGGTGTCCTTGAAGGCAGGAAGAAGGTTCGGCTTTGGCACCCCTGCTTCCTGTTAGTGTCTATACTTCCCAAATTTCCCACATTTTTCACACGTCCAGCACTCTTCCCCTCCCAAATGCCCTCCCCACCCCCACCCCCATTATGGCAGTTGCTAGCAAGCTTCAAAGAAAGTGAAGCTGACACAAAATCTTTCATGTACAGGTTCACATATAACCTTTTATTTATAAGCTACAAAAATGTACATGTTGAGGGAAAATTATTTAAATTAAATCCATTATTTTAGATACTATAGAATGTTAGCATACATGCACTCAACAATTACCAGTTTTCAAACGGCTTCTTGTTCAGTAATCAATGCTAGCAGAACAGCAAGTTGCAACACATGAAAGTAATATTCAAATAAATATAAATCAATATTAGAGAGATTGCTAGATTTAGAGAGCATGGTATAAGATTTGTGACCCTTCTAAGATTAAATTACATACTTCTTTAATACTTTGTCCACTTCCAAAATGTTATTCCTTTATTAAATTCATTTGAACTCATTGGGTGATTTTTTTTTTAGTTGAAGCAAGGCAGTGGGAATCACAGAGAAAGCGTGGCAAATAAATATGCTAGCATTTATTGTATGGGCAAGGGTAACTTCAAAAAAATAATAACCTGGAAAAAACAACTCCTCTCAAAACTGGAAAAACACAATTATTAGCATCATATAAGTGCTATTTCACTGAAAGATACTATTGATGAAGGAATTTCATTGATGTAGCCCAATATTTTAAGAAGTCTATCATTAGAGGCATCTTTTGCAATTTTATTCAATAATAAAAACGAGGACCAATTGTGTCATTCTACTTATAGAGAGTAAGTTACTGATCCCATGGCAACAGATATTACTGCATCTCAAAAGTATAGATAGGTGCATCATGATGTACTCAACACTGCACACAAACCTGCAGAGAAAGAAGCACTCTGGATGAGCCAGAATGGCCCTCCTTCAGGTATACTATGCAGCAGCATATTGCTACCTGGCAGTAACACACCTAAAGAGAGCAATATGGGAAATATACAGATCAAGGATCAGAGAAGCCTGAAATGTAAGGAACCAACCAAAGGATATGAGCTATGCAGTACCGCTGCACTTCTGTTAATTTTAATTTGATATATTTACCTAAAATACTTCCATTCTGATACTGGCCCAAGCCATTTGGATGCAAATTCAGCCTTGACTGATCTTGATTGATGTATTCAAAACTACCTTGCAAGCTTGAAAAAGAAAAGGCCATTCAAGGAAGAAATTTCAGCAAAACTTACATTGCGAAAGATAATTTTTCACTAATCTTAAATTAGAAAAAAATGATGATTTTGCAAGATTTCTAATTTATAGATTATCACCTTCAGGCAATCTACAAGTTCTCCTTATATGAAAAGTGGAAATAAAAATTAAGCAATTGCATCAATTATATGTAGAGGCTCTCGACTATCCAAATTTAGAATTCTCACCTGGAGTACTGCATGGAGTGGCATTGTTGTTTGATGGAAATAAAAAAAAACCTACCTAATTAAAGAATTCAGTGATTGATTTTGGCTATATCACAGCCATAAAATATTACATCATTTTCCTCTACCTGTTTCTTTTGGATTCAGCTGACCTAATTTTATTCCTTTTTGTTTCTCTTATCTGAGGGGACTATAATGGAACATAAATTCTTACACTGTTCATGTTGTATTACAATAGCTTATTTCTGAAAGAATATTAGAAAATGTTGTGATAAGCAATATTCCCTAAGATATCGAGCTAACTATGAGACAAGAAGCTAAAGTGCATAAGAAGAATCTCACTAGCTTTGTTGACATACAATCCCCAACTTTAACATTTAAAGCAACAAAACACTAAACTATTCCCATCATTAATTGTTACACTTACAGCAAAAAACATTATAGTGGACAATGCTAGTATGCTTCTCAAATCCTATGCCTAGAACCAATTATTCCTAGACAACACAATGTATCTGTCAGGCAAAAGGACAGGTTTCCTCTTGGTGTACTTCCCAGGAGGCAGATAGAAAAAGTGTTTTCTTCTTCCTAAGAGCCCTCTTTCTCCTGAAGTTAAATTTCTTACAGATATGAGTCAAGAGAAGACTGTTTCTTCTTTCAGACGCCTTCATGCCTCTCCGTACACAGAGAAAGAGCCTGCTTCTTTCTCTCTGTTAAATCACCATCTGTCTGACCTGAGAATTCAGAGGAAAGCCTCAGCAGGATGGTCATATCTGGCCAACATACTGGAGGTTTTAAAAGAGAAGAGTAAGTGCAAGAAGCAAAAAGAAGGAACAAGATTTTGCTTTTCTGCTCGTATCATAATTATAAGTCTGAGTTACAACCTGATTTTATACTGGACAGTTCAAAGGTGTACGAAAACCATCAATTAAAATTAGGAGGAGTTCGCACTGTGTGAGAGAATGAAAATATGTCCACCCAGCCTCTCCCTCTCTTCATATCCTGGTCATCCATTGACTTCTACTACTTTGCAGGGTGAGACTGTGATGAGGAGGAGATTTAGAATTCTGATTACAGGATTCTAGGCTGCAGGGAGATTTGCAGTGCACATTAACGCCATGGAGAAAAATTCTACAGCACCCTTAGTACCCTTGCGGCCTTCCGCAAAGCAACTAAGACCTGGCTGTTTCGGCAGGCCTGGGGCTGTTGAATTATCCAGCCCCATCCGATGTTATGACTGTTGCTGAATTTTTTAATTGTTGTTTTTATTTTTGTACCCCCTTCCCTTCTTATTGTTAGCCGCCCTGAGTCTTCCGGGAGTAGGGCAGCATACAAGCTAAATAAATCTAATCTAATCATTTACTGTTATCCTCTCTCCAATAATTCGATGGATGATACTCTGTATTTTTAAAGGATGAAAATATTAAATAAATTTTCATGTGTTGAGTACAGGTAGTCCTTGACTTACAGCAGTTCATGTATTGACTGTTCAAAGTTACGACGGCACTGAAGAAAGTGATTTATGACCATTTTTCATGCTTACAACCATCATGGTCATGTGATCAAAATTCAGATTCTTGGCAATTGATTCATATTTATGACCTTGCAGCGTCCTGGGGTTATGCGATCCCCTTCTACGACCTTTTTACAAGCACAGGCAATGGGGAAGCCAGATTCACTTAACAACCATGATACTAACTTAACTGCAGTGATTCACTTAACTGTGGCAAGGAAGGTCACAAAATGGGGCAAAATTCACTTAACAAATATTTTGCCTAGCAACAGAAATTGTGGTCGTAAGTCAAGGACTACCTGTACACAGGGGTGGGTTTCAAAATTTTCATAAGGTTTCAATAAAATAAACTGAACTTCTAAGGGATTTTTCTTATAGTTAAGAATAAAATGAAATAAAACAGAAAATAAAGATTCCCTTACCTATTTGTACTTCCGAAGAAGCTGCCTACTCTAGCAGAAAACACTTTACTCATCATAAGTTGTGGAGGAGAACTGAAAAGATAAAACAATGCCATGAGTCAATAAATCCAAATGCAATTCCAATTCTGATATAATAACATGGAACTGGGGACACCAACTCACCGTATGTAGTGAATTTTCAGTGTTGAGCCTTTGTAACTCATTGCTACTGAACCAAACATCATCTCACCCAGCATGTTGACATCAGAAGCAGGCCTGGCATACTACAGATAAACAAGACAAGGAACATACATGTGTCTAATTACTGTCATAAAATGTCATATTCTAATTCTACACTAACTCAAGCTTTATTCTACAAGCATGTATTGTTGCACCCCAGAAGAAGCAAATGTAATGCAGAAGGATTTTCTGAAGACTTCCTGAATTCTGCTGGATAATCACCACCATTGGCAGATAAAGTAAAAAACATATGACACCCCCATTACTACGAGCGTCACCAATTTAAGACTTATTTTCTTTCTGAGAGAAGATATATAGTTGCTGCCTATCCTAGGAAATTAAGACATATATTTATGCAAAAATACATTTAATTTTTTATACCGTAATCCCAAATATAACAATTCAAATATTTTTCTCCCCTGTCCCCTACAAATTATAAAGCTCTTTTTTTTTTTTGCTATTATCATCTTGTGGCAATAGGTAGAAATTCAATGTAAAGATTAATTTCCAGATGATGCAAATTGGATTTGTATAGATTTCAGCAGTCACATTCAGGTTACCTGATATTTAGGAATATCTTCCTTGCCAGGTTCTCTGCTGTTCACAGAAGGGCTATGAGGGTAAGCTGTGCTAATACCACTGTTTCTTTGGCAGCCCCCACCACCTGTTTTTCCAGAAGCATCCTAAAAGGATTGTATAAATATTAAAGACAAATCAGGCCCCAAATTTTGTTTGGGGGGGGGGAGGGGATATCCTACTTAACCGAAGGACAATTAGAACATTTGAAATTTGAAAGAAAGTTCTGCTTACTTGTAATGGTATGAGAGAATGACCTTGGGGAATGAGGAAACAATCAGACAAGAGGGGAGTCCTGGTGGCTTAATAGTTAGAGGAAAAAACTTAGGAAAGATCTGTCCTAATTGATCAGGTGGTTAAAAGTGGTAGCGGGAGATTTCACTTGCAAGATTCTGTTAATGTAGCCGTACAATTAGATTACCTAGTTGTGTTTTCTGTCTTATTTACCTTACTTACTGAAGACCAGCTGACTGACATGCATGTGCGAATCAGAACCCAGAAGAGCAACGGGCAACAGCTGGCATACCTGAAGAGATGGCTCTGTGTGGCACTTCTGGCACACATGCCATAGGTTCGCCATCACGGGTATAGGGCAGTGGTGGGATTCAAATAATTTAACAACCGGTCCTCTGTCCTAATGACCAGCTGGGTAGGCGTGGCTTGGGGGGTCTTGTGACTGGGTGGGTGTGGCCAATTCAATGTCACTCAGGTCAATGGGCGCTTCACCTTAGCCGTTACAATGTAA